ATTAATCGCTGTCATTTGATAATAAATACTTGGAGTAACCAGACATTTTGGCCTCTACTTCTGCATCTACCTTTAGCAGCAGTGTCCCCTGGTTTCCCCACATTAAAATCTCTAATCTGAGTCTGCTTCCTTTACCTATGCGATGTCGCTCCTCTTTTTGGTTAACCTGACACGCTGCCATGCTGGATGCAGCAGAGTAAGAAACAGTGTTCTTAGGGCAAGAAGTTAAATTTGGCAACCCAAAAACTGTTGCCTTGTCCCTTAATTTTAAGGAAATGGTACCCTGAGGACAATCTCATTTTTGCTATTTACATCACCGTCTCTCTGGATTTTGTTGAATGGAACTGTCTAGAAAGAGTGATGCTGCCCTTAAAATTCCTAAGTAGCAGCTGGCATTGTGGCATAGCAGATTCAGGCATTGCCTGCAAGGCCAGCATCCCATATGGGTGCCAGTTTGAGTCCCAGCTGCCCCACTTCTGATCCAGTTCCCTGCTACTGCACCTGAGAAAAAACAGCAGCAGATGGCCCTAGTGATTGAGCCCCTTCACCTATGTGGAAGACTCTGATGAATCTCCTGGCTCCTGGCTTCAGCCTGGCCTGGCCCCAGCTGTTGCAGTCATTTGGGGAGTGAATCAGCAGACAGAGGAGATCTCTTCCCTCCTCTCTCTTGCTCCTTTTCACTGTAACACTGCATTTCAAACAAATCAATCTTTAAAAAAAATTCTAAGTAGTCTACCTAAACACAAGCCATATCTTCTGCTTACTGTCCTCAGATGATGATGCTTCGCCCCAAAACTACAAGAGAAAGACAGTGTCTTCTGACATTGGTGTAAAGAAATGAGAGCATCATCCTTTTAAAAATCAGGCATGTACTTGTTTTGACTTTTAAGCCTGACAAAAAGATCTGGCTATAAGTGAAACATGCCCCAACTTGGAGCAGCCTAGCCTAAGCTTCTCCGACTTTACAGTGGTGTCTTTCAAAGTAGAGCACTGGTCTGCAGATTGAGGTTCTTTCTAGTCCTGCTGTTTCTCTGTTGTATGATTTTAGCCAAAGTACTTAAAGCTATTGACCAATCACATCAATTCCAAAATGAAGAGTAGAGATACAGTTAAGCCAAAAGTGAAAAAGAATACTGTCTAGATCATTATTACAGTTTCCTATATAGTTGACTTGTAAGTTTTCTCACTCTAGGTTTCTCATTTTGATTTGGGTCTTTATAACAGGTCCATCACAAACAGTATAACTAGTAAACTGTAGCTGCACTGCCATAATTATGAAACAAAAGGTTTGCTTCTATTATAAAATCTTCTTCTCTAGATTTGAAAGACATATTCAATATAAATGAAAGGTCAGGGGCAAATGGATTGTGTTTTAAGTAAGTTTTGAATACAACTGCCATTTAGTCTTTGCAGTCTGCAAAATTTTTCTTTAAGTGGATAAATGTGTAGCGGCAACTCTCTGTTACCTTGATCAGCATCTAATACCAGCCTGACACTTGGAATTAAATTAGAGAAACAAAATTGGATACTTTGAGACTTGAGGGCTGATTATACTACTAGAGCTAAGAGTGGATTTAAACTCTTCCCTTATCCCATTTAAATCTAACTAGGTATAAACTCTCCATTACTGAGGAACAGAGGTGTGTCTGCAGAGGTGGAGGCTCCCCTTGATGTTCTTGGACAAGGAAACCTAATCCTTTCTTCTGACACAGATGGTTGCAATAGAAACCGTTCCCCAACTGCCAGTCTGGTTTTAATCTGTCATTTCTAGCAAGAGGATTTGCAAGCAATGTGAAGGACAGAGCAAAATTACCAGAGCTTAGTATAAAATAAAAGTGTTGATGAGAAATCAAACTTTAAGCAAGCATTCAAAATTGTGAGTATGAACATATGCAGACATACGGTGATGCTAAAGGTATAGTACTATAAAATTTTTCATTTTAAGTATACTAAAGACTATTTTTAATATGACATTTTAATCTCACTCTACTAAGGTTTGTCAGCTCATCCAAATGATAGCAGGGGTAAAATACTGTCATTAAACACAGTGGTGCTTCATACATTTATTTATTTTCATTTTATTTAAAAGGGAGAGATAAAAAGCGAATCTCTTTCATCCACTGGTTCATTCCCCAAACACCTACAATAGCCCAGAGTAGGCCAAATAGCAGAGCTTCATTTGAACAATACTATTGGAAAATGAGGTATTCCATAGGTGAATTTTCCATAACCAACTGACCACTGCATAATGCAAACTTACAAAACATTTTATGGAAAAATTCAAAAGTGTATTATAGATTTTCTTTGAAGATACACTGAATAACATATAATCTTTCCTTGAAGTCTTAGTAATTATTATTAAAAGCACTTATTAAAATAAGCTAGATAGCTCACCACTGTTTCTCTTAGAAGACGGTGAGCTTTGGGGTCACACCATTCCCAACACCAGAATACTACTATGAAAATGTGTCAAAGTACACAGAACCGACTCACTTATAATAGGCCCAGTGTCTTTTCTGCCTTCAATCTTCCTTCTGGCTGTTGGAAGCCATCAATCTCTGATAATTAATTGTAGAATTTGTTAAATTCATATTTGTGGGGCCAGCGCTATGACACAGTGGGTTAACGCCTGGGCCTGAAGCTACGGCATCCTATATAGGCACCGGTTCTAGTTCCGGCTGCTCTTCTTCTGACCCAGCTCTCTGCTATGGCCTGGGAAAGCAGTGGAGGATGGCCCAGGTCCTTGGGCCCCTGGGCCTGCGTGGGAGACCCGGGGGAAGCTCCTGGCTTCGGATGGGCGCAGTTCCGGCCGTTGCGGCCATCTGGGGAGTGAACCATCGGATGGAAGACCCCTCTCTCTCTGCCTCTCCTCTCTCTGTGTAACTCTTGACTTTCAAATAAATAAATAAATCTTTTAAAAATTCATATTTCCATTTTTTTTTTTTTTTTGACAGGCAGAGTGGACAGTGAGAGAGAGACAGAGAGAAAGGTCTTCCTTTGCCGTTGGTTCACCCTCCAATGGCCGCCACGGCCGGCGCGCTGCGGCCGGCGCACCGCGCTGATCCGATGGCAGGAGCCAGGAGCCAGGTGCTTTTTCCTGGTCTCCCATGGGGTGCAGGGCCCAAGCACCTGGGCCATCCTCCACTGCACTCCCGGGCCACAGCAGAGGGCTGGCCTGGAAGAGGGGCAACCGGGACAGAATCCGGCGCCCCGACCGGGACTAGAACCCGGTGTGCCGGCGCCGCTAGGCGGAGGATTAGCCTAGTGAGCCGCGGCGCCGGCTCATATTTCCATTTAAAATGTGTGACTTATTTGCATAAGGCACTACTCTAGGGGCTGGAGGAACTGTAAGACTTAAGAAATACCATATAGCCCTCATCCAGGAAGCAACCAAGCTATCTTGAGTGACAGCTGAGAGGCACCAGATCACCACCACAGCAATGAAACACAATTTATTACTTCACTGAAGTCTTGAAGTTTGTAAATAATTTTCTTTATAAAATTAAGGTACTGAAGTGATCAAATCTGGGTTCTGATATACTTTCTTTAGTGGGAATATGTCTCAGAAATGTCCCCCCCCACACACAAAAAAAATACCACCAGTGGAATATGTCTCAGCAGATAAGACTAAGAATTACTGCTTGAGGAAAAGTGGATGCATCCTTTGACAGCTCTTGGTGCTGTTTGGTTGCTAGGTTTTATCTTGCAATCTGAATGGCTGCGGAGGCCAGAAGTTTAACCTTGCTAATTTCTAGTCATAAAATCTAATTAATACAACTGCAAAAAAAGGCTATATTGCAATGCTTTAGGTATGAGTGCCAAACGTTTAAGGCATTTATAAAACTGCATTTCACAATGTGTACTTCTTATCACTTTCCCTCGCAAGATCTCTTTCCTGGGAATTCAGTACTAACACATTCTTTAGATTCTCTTACAACTCTCAGTTATTTTTGAAAATTTCCATCATCTGACGTTTTTATGTTACACACCCTATCTGGTGGCCCTAAAGATTCCCTTGGTTTCAAAGACCACATTTTGCAGTTCAAACCTCTCTCCTGAGGTCCAGACCCATGTATCTATCTAATGGGCATCACATTTGCAAATACTGCAAGCACTCCAAATTTTAACCAACAAAACCAAAACGAATCTGTTTTACTGAAGAATAAAACTTGATTTCTTTAAGTGTTTTTTCCTTCATCGCTAGAATTCCTCATCTGATCGCATCTAAATTAAACCGATTATGCTTGAATTTCACCAGTACGCTGTACATTTATGAGATTTTTACAGTACGGTTTCAAGTTTCATCTTACCCTGCTAGATGTCAGCTCCTTAACTGAGCAGGCGTCTCTCACACAACTTACCTCCTTGTAACTTCCAATATTAGCTCAATAGATCAATACAACAAAACACATACAGGAATTCTGACACACCTCTTCCAGTTATATATTTACTGAAAGACAATCTGTCTGGAAGTCTTGTAGGTGCACTAAGAGAAGCAGAGCTGTATCAACCCTTCTTAATATTTCAATCCAGGACACAACACGATTTCTTTCACAAAGTATCTGCTTCCGGAAGCCTTCCCGGACCGGGCTGAAGCACCACACTCCTATCGCCCTTCCCTCTCCGCCTCCAAACTTGGGGGATTGCTTCTACAGCACCAAAAACAGTGCGCATCCTCTATTCATCTGCTGTCTTACTGGCCCGCACACCTCCTGAAGGGCATGCACATTCCCCTGTCTGCATTTAGGGCCTGGCTGCTGGTAGGGGTCAACAAAGTTTGCATACTGAATGAATTTATGAGTCCTCAGGTGTCTTCATAAGACTCACGCCCTCTAAAAGGTCGCACTCCGAGAAAAACTCCTTTAAAGCTGCCTCTAAATGGCTAGGCCCGCTCAACCTACTCGACTTTCTTCGCCGTCTGAAATCTGCTACGCACATTCGCGACACAGAACCCCCTCACACCTGTGGTAAGACTCCACGGAAAACTTAAGCCAGGCTCCACCCCATTCCTGACCCAACCTGCTCCGCAGACAACTTTCTCCAGCACTGGCGTGCCCTGAGGGTATGCGCACGAGCATGCGCAGCAACCAAAAAGTGCTCGGGATTCTGACTGGCTCGCTGAGCAAACGTCATTCGGGAAAAGACCGCTCCGCCCTTCTCAAGATGGCGCTGCACTCAATGCGGAAGGCCCGCGGGTGCTGGAGCTTCATCCGGGCACTTCATAAAGGACCCGAAGCTGCTTCCGTTCCCCAGGTAACAGAAGCCGGCCCTTTCCCGCTGGTTTCCCATCCCGCGAGGTCCTTCTCATCTGCTTTCTCTCCGTCCACTTATTTCTCTCTTCCTGCTTCCTCGGAAGGCAGAGCCATTTCTTTCCCAAGAGCATGTCGCCTAGGACTGCTCTCTTACTCGGGGAGTGGCGACGTTGCGTGGCTACGTGATGGCGTGACGCTCTGCTAGCGGAGCGCGACACCGCCGCTGTTGCTAGGCAACGCAGGAAGCCAGACTCGGCTCGGGTGACGTGGGCAGTGACCAGAGACTAGATAATTCCGGGACTGTTCTTAGGGTCCCATTGCTGTTTTTATCTTGCTTCCCCTAACAGCGGGCCAGCGGACCTGTTAGGAATTGGGCCATTTAGGTCGGTACCTCTCCCTGGCATTGCGGTACTTGACCGAGCGTCAGCGCGTCTTCCACTCTGGTTCTTCCTCTTTGAGCGGATTAGTTTGGCTAAGGGTGTCCGCTTGCCCTGAACTTGACATGTGCTTACAGCACGACCCGTCAGTATTTGCACTTTTACCTTCGTGCCCAGAAACGGTGACGAGGGTGGGGAGGACCCTGTCGCTCATTTAAGTGTGTTCTCGGGGATAACTTATTTGACGTACATTATCTAGAGATATTTTCTGGGAACTAGAAACTTGAGGCCTGATGGTTATTGGGTAATTTCTCGGCATCCTTGCCTATTCGTTGCTATAATGCGTGGGTTTGAGGGTGTCTTGTAACTGGTGTACTGGAAAGAGCACCAGACTGATGGTTAAGAAGCTGAGCGTCAAGGGCTGCACCTGCCACGAGCTAGCTGTGTAACATGAAAAGTCACAATCGCTGGACCGTTTCTTTTCCTTCAAGCTTTGGAAAATCTGTGCCTCTGTGATTATGGGGCCCAAATATGATAGTGCTGTGATTATGGAAATCAAGATTTAAGTTCAGCTTAGTTTTCTGAACGTCCCACGAATTACTTCATATTCTGAACTTCTGTTTTCTCCATTGGTGTGAGCCTCACAAGATTCTTGTGAGGGTCAAGAACATACTGCAGCAGAGAATTCTTTTTCGAGATACAACTATTCAGTATTATTTTAATCAGGTGGTGGTGTTAGCTAAGAGTTGATTTTAAAATCTACCAACTACTTCTCTCCTTGAAGTTTGAGGGTTTCATTGTGCACAGCCTGAATTAATTGATTATGTATAGCTAATAGGATATTGAAGCTTATGCTAAGAAACTTAATCTTAGACCCAAACTTTCCCTCATTCCAAACTATAGGATGTCATGGGAATAAAGAATCAAAAAGAAAAAAAGAAGAAAAATTGAAACCCACTAGTAATTGCCCAGGAAAGTTTAGGGCACTAAATCTTTAAAGATGCTGAAGAAAACATTTCTTAAGCCTCTACTGTTGTTTTGGTGGTATTTATTATTTAGTGGTATAATATTAATCAAGTATTAATCTAGATCGTTTCAAGGTGTAGAGTTTCCAGAGCAGATTAGTATTTCCTAACCTTTAATTTAGCTTTGAGTAGAATACGGAATAAAATGTTAAAGTATTTTTAAGTCTAAATCTACATACAATTTAAGTCATTAAAAATGTGGTTTGGGTAGGTGTTTGGCCTAGCTGTTAAGACCTCCCATATCCCATATCAAGAGTGCTTAGGTTAGAGTCTTGCTTCCACTCCCAATTCCAGCTTCTTGCTAATGTGCGCTCTGGAGGGCAGCAGGTAATGGCTTAGGTAGTTGGGTCCCTGACACATACGTGGGAGACCTGAATTGAGTTCCTTGCTTTGATCTAGCCCAGCCTGCCCATTTCAGGCATCAGGAGAGTGAACCAACAAATGGGAGGCTCCGTCTCTCTCTCAAATTTTTAAAAAGCCTTTCAAAAATATTATGTGAAAGATTAATGTCTTTTGAAAGACCAGTTGAGGAAATATAAAAAAATTATATTTATGGTGTGGTTATAATTTTGTTTACATAGAGATAGTTTTATAAATAGGTATACAGAAAAAGACCAGAAGGAAACCATTCTTAATTATTTGTTTTGGTTTGGTCTTCCTAAATAGTGGATTAAAAGTGATTTTTCTTTAAGCATTCTCTATTTTTCACATGTTCTAAATTGAAGTTATATCACTTTCATAACCATAAAAAGTTTTGAAAGCATAAATCTCTATAGAAATCTTCAGTCATTAATACTGTTTGTGATATTTTAAGTTTCTGAAAGAGATACTTGTCCCACAGTGCTGTTATTAAAATGGTCTTAGAAAAGGACTACTAAAAATTTATGGCTCCTTTTCCTGTGTGTATCTTCTTTTTCTCTTGAAAAGCTTTCTTTGAAGTCAAAGGGATTTTGTGAACAGATGTAGAAATATGTGAAGGAAGAATTGGATTCTTAAACCAGATGCATTAGACGTTTTTATGACATCTCATAACCTTTGTAGAAAACAAAAATTATTTTGCAAGAGCATGGTATAGTTGAAAGAAATGTATATTTATCATATGAATGATATTATCAAAAACCCAGAAATGGCAAGTTCCTTGTTATTAGTTTTGGCTGTGCAGACTTACTCCCTGAGGTCAGAGACAGAGGTAGGAGAGCCACGCCAGTGTTCTGTTAGAAGCTGTGACTGATGGAGTGTTGTGATTCCTAACTTATTTTAATGTTGTTGGGATTTATTTTTAAAAAATCATGGATAAAAAGCTTGGCATTGACAATCTTTAGTTATAGCAAATCCAGGCTTTTCCCTCTCAATGGTAGATGTAAACTCAAGTTAAAAATTAAAAAACAGAGAGAAAACAGGAATAACAGTGTATCATGCCATATTCATTATGGTATACCTACAATTTGTATGAAAATGGTTTATTTTGCCAGGTGTTGCCTGACAGAAAACTGTTGAAATGTGACAAGAGGAATGAACATCTGATGTTATGTTTAAATGCTGATGGTATTAGATAAATTTCCGCCTGTCATCATTGGCCAAACACAGAGTCCATACTTCTTTAAGCACTAATTCATGATTGTGTTATGCAAGCAGTGAAATATTAATGGTTAGTAGATTTTTACAAGAATATTTATAATCATTCAGTTGAAATATAAAAACGTCTGCATTTTATTGCAGTTGAACAGCCTGCTTCATTATTCGCTGTCCCCAGCCTAGATCTGACCAGAATTAACACACTGTTCCTGCTGTTCACGATCATTCAGTCTGACTCTTAGATGCAGGAATCATGCCTGCAAAAAGCAAGCATTGTCTTAAATGTATTAAATGTTTGATTTTTATTCTCTTGTATTCTCACAGCAACTTTTTTTTTTGAAAGAGCAACTTTCATTTCAAAATATTTTTATTTACAAAGTTGCAAAATATTTACAGAGAATTCCTGTATACGCTTCACCAACCTTTGCCTTGAATAATCATAATGATCAAAATCATGCAACTTAACACTGATACAGTACTGTTAACGAAGTTAGCTATAGATCTGGTTCACGTTTCACCAGCTTTGTCATTAGTCCTTTCGCTGGTCCAGGATCAAATCCAGGACTATACACTGCATTCAGTTGTCATTTCTCCTCCAATCTGTGACAACCCCTCTCTTCCATGACTTTGCCCATTTTGAACCATCCTGGTCAGTTACATCTCTCACATGGATAGTTAGAGTGACATCATGCATTTGAGCAAGAAAACCACAGAAGAGGTGTTCCTAACAGGGCTTTATGGCAAGTATTAGCACATATTTTTAACAGGAGGACATAGGCTTTAGATAATGATTTTCCCACAGTTAAATAGTGGTGAAATTAGGATTGTAAAATTTACTGCATTTGGCAATTAGTAAGAGATTTGTTTTTGTGCAAAAAAAAAAAATGAAATCCATACATTGTTTTTCTTAATATGCATTTTCTTTTTTAAACATTTATTTATTTATTTATTATAAAAGAGATACAGAGAGAAAGAGAGAGAGAGAGATTGAGAGATCTATCTTCCTTCCACTTGTTTGCTCCCAGATGACTACAACAGCCAGGGCTGGGCCAGGCCGAAAGCGTGAGCCAAGAGCTTCATCTGGATGTCCCAAGTTGATGGCAGGGCCCCAAACTCTTGGGCCACCTTCCATTGTTTCCCCAGGCCACCAACAGGGAGCTAGACCAGAAGTGGAGCAGCTGGGTCTCAAACGGCACCCTTATGAGATGCTGACATTTTAGGTGGCAGCTTTATGCACTAGCCATAATACCTGTCCCCATATTGCACATTTTCTGTGAACTTTTTGAAGACCCCGCGTGTTGGAGTCATCAGCATTGCATGTTTTCAGGACCTGCCGTGGTCATCCAGGAATTTTGCTAATCCATCACTGTTTCCTTTTGAGCAGACAATGTCATTTACTGTGCTTTTCCTAAATAATAAATACACGGATACCTTGGAGATATTACAAGTTTGATTGCAACCACCATGATTAAGCAAATAATCACAATAAAGTAAGTCACACAATTTTTTTTTGTTTCCCAGTGCATATCAGTTATATTTACACTACACTGTAATCTGTGAAACATGTCATAGCATTATATCTAAAAACAACAGAGTTCATTTCTTAATTTAAAAATACTTTATTGAGGTGTGGGCATTTGACCTAGCAGTTAAAACATCTGTGTCTCATGTAAGAGTGCCTGGGTTTGATAACTGGCTGTACGCCTGACTCCATCTTCCTGTGAATGTAGGCCCTAGGAAGCAGCAGGTGATGGCTCAAGTAACTGAGCTCCTGAAACCCACATGGGAGACTGTATTAGTTCCTGGCTCCTGGCTTCATTCCAGCCCAGTGCTGGTCATTGCAGGCATTTGGCTGGGAGCTCTCTGGCTGGCTGGCTGTCTTTGTCTCTCTGACTCTCAAATAATAAATAAAAATTTTTAAATGTGGTTTATTACTAATAAAAATACTAATGATCATCTGAGCCTTCAGTGAGTCACGATCTTTTTGCTGGGGAGGTGGCTCAGCTTGGTGTTAATGGCTGCTG